CCACCATATAGACCAAACAGCTGATGAAAAGCACACACAAAGAAGTACGACTTTTCATTGTGAGAAGGGTTTTACTGCTACAGAACCACTGAGAGTACAGTGCTGTTAACTCATCTTTCATAATCCTATTCTAGGTAAAGGGTTTTGTCCATTTGTCCACAGTCACAACCTAGCAAGTCTGTAAGTGGGATGTTCCTGGGAAATATTTGGAGAATTATCCACTGTAAATTGAAAACAAACTTTTACACAAAGAGGTTTACTTAGTGTAAAATACCCTGTTATTAAGGTTACAAGTAACATGCATGCGTACATACTTTACAAATCCTTTTGTAAAAGCACTGCTCTTGAGCAACAAATCCATGTATCAATGGAAAACAAGCATTGTGATGAAAGTTACTCTAGAATTCTCATGGCAAAAGTGAAGTTTTTCTGAGAGAAAATATGCTTTGAAATGAAGGCTCACAAAGCTACTGACCAACAGCCATAACCAACTGCATTTGCATTTGATTTTTCTTAACATCCTCAAAAGCTTTAGAGCAAGTGAAGACAGAAAGATTAATACAGCCCTTACAGCTATCATTACCCCTCTTAACATGGGTAGGTTTCTACACAACACCACTTCACAGACACCTACGAGTTCCAGAAATACAGTTTTCCTCTAGAAAGAGTAACAGAAGGAAAAAACCGAATCAAACTATAATGCACCAGTAACTTGGCTTTGGTAACTTCCTAACCAGAATTTGGTTTTGATTAGGTACATCCATTCATCAGACAACCCCGAGAGATTCAAGCACATGAAGCAGCTGCAGCCACTTTCCAGTCTGCTAAAGGGTAACTGATTTCTCTACTGTGAACAATGACTTTTGTTTCCCAACTGATTGTGCAATAGACAAAACAGCCTCCAGCCCTCACTCTGAGGATCAAGCATGGTCCCACTTTGTACTCCCACCTGTAAAAGCCGACACTTGTAGAGAGAATTACACAGTTTCGTTTTGACAGGGACATGCCTTTGTGACATTCTTTAGGACCTTTCACCACTGCAAAATGTGTCACCAGTAGGCAGTAATCCAAAACCAGTCACATTCCTCAAAAACAAAACAAGGAGCTAATTTAAGTAAGTCTCCGGTGATCAAAAGGCTGAGTTCAGGAAGTCAAGAAGAGGGAAGCAAATGGACTTGTAGCAGCCTAAGTCTGAAGGATGACTACAGACTGTTATCTCCTTATCCCATCTTACACCCTTTGTGGACTACCCTACTGAAACTTCATTCTACTGCAAATTAAATTGGAACACATGCAGCAAGTCTCCATTTCAGTTCTGTGCGAATAACATTGCAAATATAGATGAAACCAGTCAACTACAAAAAAATACAAATCCCCCAATTAAACAGGAGTACATCTCTCATTTAATTGCCTTGTAATTCAGCTTTCTGCTGAGCGCCTACTTATGCAAATTTATATCCTTCCCATTTATTAATATCTTACAGATCTAAATTACACAGAAAATGTCATGTAATATTAAATAACAAAGCTACTTTACAGGCCTGTGTAGCTTGGAATAGTTTTACTGGTCTCTAAAGTGCATAAGAGATTTGAGTTCTTGAAATACCTAGTGGGTACCCATTTGATTAAGGAAAGTTACAGTCCCTGCAACATAATCAAACAGAATATAGTCAGTGGGGGCTCAAATACTCGTTTCGTAGACTTAAAGAAAGGCACAGCTCTTTACCAGCCAGAAGAATCACCTTGTTTTTAAGGCTTTTTAGGAGCATGGTTTCAAGGAAGTAATTACAGAAACTGCAGTAAATACGGCTGCAAAGAGTACTTTATATATATACGCACACATAAAATAGCATTATGGAGAAGATACAACAAATCCCCAATGCTATGCGTAGACACATGGGCTCTTCAGACGTTTTGGAAAGGCCACAAGAAGCAGAGATTGCTTAAGAGACTTAATCCAATTTGCCGACAATAAATGGTATTTAGATTATGTATTAATTGAGAAGTCAGCGGAATAAAATGCAGCATCTTCTGGATTAAATGACACACACCCCTCAGTCAAGTCACTAAAGAAAGTCTAACGAACAGAAAGGGACAAAGCAGAGGGAAAATTCCCCCTACAATTTTATGATTTGTGATTTTAGTCTGTCCCCCATGATGGCAATCACGTCTAAAGCTGGTTTTAAAGTTTCTAACAAAGAGGTATTTGAGAAGGTATGACAGCTTTTAACACACTGCACTTCTGACATTTTTGAAGATCTGAAATCCCTCTGCATTTCCTTCTTTGCAACTACAGAATCAATGCAGAGAGTACTTAAGGAAGATGCTCACCTTGTTACACAGGCAACTAACTACCTTATTAATGATGAGCACTGGAAGTGCTTAAAATTGATGTGGACGAAGTAATAGTAGACATCAAGTTTAGTTTTAAGTATTAACCTAAAACTGAAGTCAAATCTACACATACATTGAATAGTGAAGGAACATCATCTAATTGAGGTTGCGACTGTAAGAGGTGATGGAAGAAAATGGGATTCCCTATCACGTTATGAAACAAATTGGTGTAGACAGGGGATGCTTTCTCCAGCAAGAGCCAGCAGGTACATTGCAAAACATGCTTGTTATGAATTTCACAAAAGTCATTTGGTTAAAAAAGCAGCATCAAAGCATATAACCAAATGAGTACTTTAAGTGATCTTCTGTACTTTCTCACGTGCAAATCAAATAAATGCACAAATAAAAGCTACAGTTGAATCCAAGACACTCTGTAAACACTCAGAAAATTAAACTGTAACATAAGGATTTCTAAAGTAGCAATTGTATATGACTACACATTCAGAAATGAAAATGCTGTGGTGCTCTAAACAGGTATACTGAGAAGCTAATCAAAACAGTCCAATCCACTGTGAATGCAGCTACATCTTATAAAGACAATAGCACTGCATCTACAATGCACAGATTTTTAATTTAATGTAAATTTATTCCATCAGCCTTCAACCCTTTCGTTGTTCCTCACCTCTTCTGTGCTATTTAAAGTGTTTGGGTGCTTTTGCACTGTCACATCACTACCTTTTCTATTAAAATCATAGCCTGTTCTGTTAAAATGGTTTGTCTATAACTTCCAATTATTAAATTAAAATTACATACCATTTTTACTTACAAATCTTATTTCCAAATGTATATTGTGATTTTTTTTACCCCTCTGTGTACCATATGTATTTATTTTTGGACATTATCCCTTGATATGAAGGCACTTTTGAGCTGGATGGCTATTGTTAGGTGGTGTACCTTTGAATATTTTTAATAAGGCATTAGTCTTTTATTTATTTATCTTGAGTATTGGCAGAGGATCTTAAACATTTGTGGTGATATCAAGATTTTACATTCAGAGCACGTCAGTCAGACTGTCTACTGCAATCACATGAGGATGACTTGAGGCAGTGGTGACAAACACATCCAGCAACTATATACCAGTTGAAATTATGAATGCCATAATGTAATAGCCACTGAAGCCTATCTCATTGTTTCTGGGTTCTGATGAAAACTTGTGGAAGACACAGAAACACTACAAGCATTGCAAACATTACTCCAAGGTACATCATGAACTAAAAGAACACAAAATAAGAATAAACTGTCCATGTTGCTTTGCTGCACAGACACAACATTAAAACTCATTTTAAGAACCTATAAGCAGTGTTATAAAGCAAACAATAACAATTAGATAAAAATCAAAATCTTTTAAACATTAAAGCCCACTCAAAATTACACCTACAAGATACTGGATATAAACTTTGGGAGCAACCAAGCAACAGATGATTTAAACAGGTTATATAGATTCACTGGATAAGCATACTTTCAGCTACCCAGACACTGATTACTTTCATGACTAGAAGTGGTAACAAGGAAACAGCATGGCCATAGATCATAATCATGTGTATTTTCTGCATTATATGTGATGATCAAGATCCTTCTAGTATAGGGATTATGAAAATCCTTGGTCCATGAATGTGAACAAGGCAAGGCAAAGGGCTCACGTAAATGCAGAAATTTATAGTCTATTTCCTTTGCCTTCTATGGGTTATGAAAATCTAATGCTTCTACAGTTATACACCAAGACAGCATTTAACTTATCTAACAGTTATAAACCTCATCAGAGCTAGTTAACATAAATTGCATAGCCCACAGAGAGATCAGTGTTTTCAGAGAGCGACTCACATAGTTGTGTGCTAGCTCTTAAAAATGACACCAGATGAATTGCCACAGATTACAGGGGAAGCCTATACAAGCAACTTAAAACAGATACCTAACTTCTGAATGGCAAGGTTTCTGTGCATACTTCAGTATCCCAAAACTGCTATTTTATGACCTACACTTGGCCCTCCATATGAAAGCTTAGAACACTTTCATGTACGCTCTCTGCCTCCAAAACAAGCAGGGTTTCAAGGGTATACAGGAAGAGATAAGCATTACAAAGTGACGTGAACATACTTGACTGTTCCTTCCGTTGGCCAAATACTTAGAACTGGAGAGATGATTTGTGGGCTGCTTCTTTTAGAGAAAAAACAAAACCTGGCTCATTTACGTTTCTAAATCTGCTAGCATTTTTCCTAGTGTTTATTTGTGCAACAGCAAGGTCAAATCTATTAGATCAAATCCTGGCTATTCTGTCTCCTAGTACACATTGCATTTTGCATGGTTATCTGGCAAGAGAAAACATCTATAAACTGAAACCAAGTACAGAAAGATATAACAAACTTTAAGTAATCGTAATTGCATGGAGGCATAAAAGTAGCGAGAACGCATAAAAATGTTTACATTTCAGAGTGATACAATACCTCGTCTGACTATTTCTCTATTTGACTCTCTATTAATAATAATTAACTGCATAATTCCTTCACTGCTTTTAAGTCAATGCCCCAGAGCAGCTCACACTTTATCTTCAAACGACATCAAAGCAAGCGGCTGCTACCAAAGAGTGGAAAAGAAACAAATGTACTTACTTGCCACCTCCAGCGATGCATTATGACTTACAGCTTCCCCAAGGTAATTCCTTGCCACACAGACATAGACCCCTTCATCAGGCCTACTCTTGCGCCCATGGACGATGCGTAAGAAAAATAAAGATCCGCTGGGCAGCAGCATGCGGTGGGAGCGGGGATCATCCTTGTCCGTTTCCACCCTCTCCCCTCCCTTGTACCACTCAATGGTAGGGGTCGGCCTTCCTTCTGCTTTGCAATTTAAAGTTGCTGGTTCTCCTTTGGAAACAATTAGATCAGAAGGGTGTTCAACAATTCGAGGTGGGAAATCTTCTTGCCGAAGACGGGAGCCTGCAAGACACAAACACAAAGCTTTATTAGGAGGCTGCTGCCAGATATAATCACTGTGTTTTGTGAAACTCCTTAACTATTATCTTGTAGTACCGGATTTAACCAAGAACAGTTATTAATATCTGAAAGTGGAAAAAATACCCCAAAACCTTAATGCTTCCTCTTCATTGTGTGCAGGGTTCTCCCAGGTAAATACATTCCAAAGCACTTTTTCAACAGGTGACCTGTATTAGTGAACTAAACTGCCACAGTCCTAAATCTTAGAATCACAGAACAGTTAGGGTTGAAAAGGACCTTGAGATCATGAAGTTCCAACCCCTCTGCCATGGCCAGGGGCACCTCGCAGTAAACCATGTCACCCAAGGCCTCATCCAACCTGGCCTTGAACACTGCCAAGGATGGAGCATTCACAACCTCACTGGGCAACCCATTCCAGTGCCTCACCACCCTTACATGAAAGAACTTCTTCCTTATATCGAATCTAAACTTATCCCGTTTAAGTTTTAACCCATTACCCCTTGTCCTGTCACTACAGTCCCTAACGAAGAGTCCCTCCCCAGCATCCCTACAGGCCCCCTTCAGATACACATATATAAAAATTTAGATATATATGCATAATTATGAAAAACTAGTCTTACAGATACTCTACAGACATCAGACCATTTCTACCAGCAAAACTGGTTCTTCTCTAATCCATAACACAAAGCTATAGCCAACCTCATTCAACATTTTGGAAAGCCTATGAATTCATGCAATGTCCACAGAGTAAGCCTAGTATCTCCAGCACCTACAAAGATGCTTTATTTCACTTGTGCTATCAGCTCTTTTTAAATCACTTGTTAGGCAAGTGACTGAGTGTTTCTTACACAGGCAAAATTAGAGCAACTTTTTACATTATAAAATCTAGAACTCTGATATAATGTGAGACAACACTATCAGGGATAACAGAAGAGTTACAAACAAACAAGATAACTCCTATAGAAAATAATTCAGTTTCTGCAGGCTGGTAACTGGCATGAAGAAAAACTGTAAGAGTCTGGACAGATATATATATATCTATGTAGCAGAATATAGCAAACAACTGGGAGTCCAAGAACTCCAAATTAGGACCAAGCAGCTACTAAAACTTTCAGGGTTTTAAACTGTTGACTCAATTTCAAATTACTGTTATTTTTTTATATTGATACCCAAAAAAACTTTGCCGTTGATAAAATTAATCTCTTGGGTCACTAACTCCTAATTATTAGAATTTTAGATGCCAAGACTCTTTATTAATAACATGAGATTTAAAAAGCCATGAAGCACCAGAAAGAAATAAAAGATCTATTCACTGCAGGTTAACAGATCATAAATTAGTATGGAAAAAGGAGAGGAATACCAGAGAGCTCTGTTTTCATATATATTTACAATATATGTGTGCATGTTATATATTTATATATATAAAATAATATAAAATGTAGAACTGTCATGTAAAATTTATTTCACATTTCTTTCACCTCAAGACAATCAATGCAAATAAATGTTACACTAAGCAGCTAGCACTAACCACACACTCCCAAATCTCTGGTAATATGACTTCTCTACTTGAAATATATTTGCAGGCCGTATGCAGTAAAGGAAAATAGTTTCATAAGAACATTACTGACCATTAAATACAAAATAAACAGCAATAATCCTATTCTTCAGTTCTTTGAGAAAAGATAATAGATGTAGTATTCTATCTAGGACTATATTCCTAAATTAGAATAAATCTTTCCTCATCTACCTAATTAGCCAATTTCTGTTCAAATAGTCACAATAATGCAAGATTTTGTAGTACCTAAAGCAAACAAGTAATAATATTTTCATTCACTTTTAACTGTAACAACTGCCTGAGACATGAAAACTATTATGAGCAGTATGGAAAAGCATGGGCAGCTCAAAAAGAAGCCAGAAAACTCCTAAATCCTTCTGCTGGCTACACTCCACTGTGCAGCCCAGCTCTGTGTCACCAAAAGGAAGGGTACAGGCCAAATACAGTGAGAGACAGAAGTACAGAGAAGAAAATTGTGCCAACCAGCACTGGTCCTTTACAGTAGCTAAAAAGCCTTTAATACACTTCACTTTGCCTTGAGTGCACACCTCAGTCACTGCAAAGTGCATTTGTGTCTACTCACAATGAACTTCTACACAGCCCTTGTGAAAAGCACCTCAGCCAATACTGCTGCCCTCACAACTTGGATGACCAATTTTACATCTCTCTTTCCAAGGTAGAAGTGCCTACACAGGGATAAAAATCTTACTTTGTTTATACCTCTACTCACTTCCTATATGCCTCCCTCGTAAGAATATAAGCTCAATGTAAAATGTTTAAAGATAGTTAAAAGTCTATTTATTTAAAAACAAAGTTTGCACTTATGCTAGTATGAATCCCATTTCTATTGTCACAGATAATGCTAGCCAACCAGCATGCTATATAACACAAGCCTCCTATTGTTTCTCTCAGTCTGGCCCAGACCACAAAGAGATGAAATACCATTTTCAGATCTATCGCATCCACACTTCCCATACTGACATTTAAGTGACTGTACACTACACTTCAAGTACTGTATAGGATGAACGTGTAAAGACTGACCTCTAAACCTGCTTGAAAACTGAGACTCAAAACTCTTAAGGGGGGAAAAATCCCCCGGAAACACCAGGAATGCTCATGTGTGTTTGAAATTTCTTTGCTGGGTAACACTAGAGGAGTTAAGATGGCAGAAATGACCATTAAAATATGTACATAGTTTTTTAATCCCAGCATTTTATAAAGTAACATTTCTGTAGAAAACTGCATAAAACTACTTAAAGCAGAAAGGGACAATAGCTGTAATAGCTGTTAACTGGCACACAGCATTAACCATAGAGTTAGTGACAACTGCCTGAGGGGTATAATGGCCTTGACAATCAGTTTATAATCTCTCTACATATCTACACATTCTTTTTTTTTTTTTCCCCTCAAAATCTTTCTTTCCTTTTAGCTCAGTTATTTACGCTGCATTTACGTTTTATTGAGAAGGAGCAGCTTCAATTATCAACATTAATCTTGCAGTGGGCACCAATCCTGTAATTTTGCTGTCAAAAAGCAGCACACCTATTACATGCTGGATCTGCCATCAAAAATACAACAGAGCTGCTTTTCTTTCCCCTCAAATATCCCAGCACTGGGTTACTGGAACTTGTTTTCCCTGCTTTTATTATAAGTCAAGTCTTTCATAGAAAGGATGCCACCAGCTAAAGCATGCTACACTAATTATTTCATGCTGCTGCTTAAAAGAACAATTATATGAAATCATGTTTCCAGTTCCTTGGACTGTGCCACAACTATTTTTACAAGATTCAAACACTGACATAAACAGATGTGAAGCTTCAAAGTAAGCTGCCATCAGATGAACGCTGAACTCACAGAAGCACGACTTGCCTTTATTCCCACCTTAAAACTCCCTGTTGGTAGCATATACAAACGTAATGTATTGAAAAATTGCAGGGAATGTGTTTAAATGGGAAAGCTGCTGATGTCAGGGATACAAACACTGTGCTGTTCTCCTTCCAGGGGAAAACAACGAAGTTATGTGCTACTGAACAAAGCGCCTCAAATTTTAACCTAAGAAGTTAAAAAAGTCAAGTCCATGACTAAAGGTGATCTAAACTTAAGCTCAAATGGGTAGAGAAAACCTGATCTCCCAATATCTGTATATCTAAACAGTACCTTATCCTTTATCTTGTGAAATGCTGCATGACAGACTGCCATCAGCCAAGTGCCAAAAAGCCAGTATGCTCTTGGCCCCATTTCTTTTCCATTTCACAAGTATAGCAATTAACACTAATTTTCAGAGCACAGAATCTCCACTCTTTGATTGAAATGCTTTACATTGTAATGCAAGAGCAATTAGGCCTGTTACTCAGCTATCAAAAGTTATTAGTAAAATACTAAAAAAACAAAACCACCGGTTTAAAATCAGTGTTAAGCGATTCCTGTGAACAATTGTACTTCAGCAGAACATCAGAGTGTTTCCAAGTCCCCAATACACACATCTTAGCCTCCTTCAGACTCTTTTCAGGAAGTGGGGAAATAATCTTTTTATGGTTTTTGTTCAGACTGACTCGGAAGATCTTCCGAAACTCTTTTGCTTTAGTGGTTAGAAAACTTTCTCTAATTCTCAGGTTAGTAAATACCTCAGGATTGAGCTGACCTTTAATTTTGATCTCTCCACACACTTCTTGGGATTTTATCCCTTTGACATGCAGATTGCAACCTTTTCCTTTTTTACCATCCTCTCAGATTTTGTGTTCTTGTTGCTGTTAGATGTCAACAAACTAATCTCATATGGTTTTCCCTTCGTAAGATCCACTCACCTTTTCCTTGCCTCAAATTCTTGAGGTCCTCCTTCCTAAACATGAAAGATCGAAACCATACATGCTTAGGCTAGCAGACTTTGAATGTACGTCAAGCACGCACTGCAAAGCAATGTCACGTCAGGTTGCAGGAGAAGAACTAACTGAAGGAAAAATCAAAGTATTTTTCTGAAAGTGGCTTTAATGCCACAAGACATGCAGCTAACCTAACCTATGGAGTTTACCTGTTCTCACAGGTAATAAATCATTGCCAAAGGAAAACAACAGAACAAGGAAGATCCACAGAGACCATGTTCCCATCACCTTTCTCTCCACTTCTCAAATTTGCTAATATTCTTACTCTTCGTATACTACCCTTGTCCAGCCCAAATAAAATACCTGATTTTCTGAGCTTTGTAGCTTGCACAAATAGTGCGTATTAAAAAGCAGAGGTGTTGCAGTCTTCCCTCTATAACCAAAGACTTGAAGTGATTAATGAAGCCACTAATGCTGTGCGTATTTGGATTTCCAAAAATCACAACAGGACTTTCATTCTTAATTCTACTTTGGCATGAAGCACTAAAGCCAAAACTGCATTTAACTGCTATTCCTGAAATACTGATTTAAGAATAGCATTGGTCATT